CTCCAGTCTGCTCTTCTCGATGATATCATGCCTCTCTTCTTTGGTTGTCCCCCTGGTTGCAGTGGAGGTAGGGCCGCGTTGAGGCTGTAGCCGTCCAGCTCGAAGCCCGCCCACGAATAGCTGCCGCGCTGCCACTTCGCGAGCCCACATGCGTATTGACGCTTTGAAGAAGCCCATTTACACTGCGTCTTCGTAGCTTCCATCCGCTCTCGCGATGCTAGAAATTCGATGCCAGTACGCTTGTCCTGGAAGCTGGTGGTGTTTTCCTTCTTGGCTGCGTCGTACAATGCCTTGGCATCGATCACGAGTGCTGAATATCCTGCATAGTGGGTGCTGCTGTCGTTGTTGATGTCCACGTTGACGTAGACGAATGCCACCCAGAACCGCCTGGCGAACTCCAGTGCGCCCATCCCTGCCGCCGCCGCCTGAGATGCCGCATGATGCGATGATCTCGCTATCCGTGTGAGCTTGAAGGACTTCCAACCAACGACGCTGAAATCCGAGTCCTCGCCGCTGAGGGCTTTTAGAACAACATGCCATAATCACACAGCCTCCGCCATTAAATCCGCCTTGCCAAAGTCCCCACGATGCGTCCGTCACTGCCATCAAAACGATGTCACTGACCTTCCCGATCTTCTTCATTCTCAGTCCCACGTCCGCATTCTGCTTGTAGAACCTGAGCGTCTTGTTAACCTCCTTCGCTGTCGCCACTGTTGCCGTGGGAAGCTGCCGTTGGTGGATGCTGACCGATGCTGCGGCACGTGGGAACGCCTGGGAACTTGGCCACTGCAGCACCCCTAGCAATCCTCGAAATTGTCGTATCTCCTTCGGGGTGAATAGACCGTCGTTGTCATCATGCTGGTCGATCGTGATCGGCGGGAGGCGTACGTCTGCATCTTGATGTTGATCTCGGTGCTGCTGGACTGTTGGTTGTCCCAGTGAGTCATCTGGTGTACGTCCGATCCGCAGCACTCCATCTTGCACTCCTCGATCAATTTCCAAAGCTTGAACTTGCTCTTGACTGCCTCGATGATAACGCTGCTTGCTTCCGGGCTGGCGATCGCCCCCTTCCAAGCTTATCGTCCAGGTACAATATAATAAAGCCGTCGCAATTGCCACCCTTGTCGCTGCTCACGAACAGACACGGGCCCAGTGGAAGTTGCTGGAGGCCGCTGGCCTTGAGGTCGTCAACTGCTCGTTGCCACCAACGTCACGGTGCGTTCACCTGTCCGTACATGGGCTTGATCAGCTTCATCAGCGCGTCCAGCTCGATGCCCATGTGGCCTGCTACGTCGAGGTACTTTCGCGTAGAGTGCTTCCTCTTGGGGTCCCCCTTGAAGACATGCCGTAGCCACGTCTGCGGTCCACAATCTCCATCCGTCGTTCACCGCCAGTTGCAAAAATTAGCTGAACGCAAATTGCCACAGGAAGTGCGCCGTTGACACCCCCACTGCTTCATGTAAGATCCACAGCAGCTTAGCTGTACCACTCGTCGGGGACATTCTTCAGAATGAGGTCGCTGTAGAGCCTGCTCCCATTGTTCGCCGTCGCGACTGGAATCCGCCACGTTGACGTTGTCCAGAAACTCTAGGCCGCTCATCGTATCGTTGCTGGGGTCTACGAACTGAGCTGCGTCGGTTGGCCCGAACTCAGAGTCGATCCTCTGGCAAATGGCGTCCTGGTTCAGCTCCTCTACCAAGCCCACGGTGTAGTGTCTTCGGGGAGAGAGGGTGGCTGCCTCGAACTCGCCCGCGTTCCAGGATACCATCTGCTGGGGAGTCAAAATGTACCTCGAACTCCTCAAACAGTGGCCTTGGAAATAAGATTGGAGTTCGTCCCGGTGCTACGTAGATGTAGAGCGTCCCTGAGTTCTGCGCAAAATTGGCCGGCACGGTTCCACACCACTGCGCGCTCTCGACCTTGGCGTCTCCAAATCGGAACGGCCGTCGACACTCGTGAAACTCGAGGTCCTGGATGGGGTAGCCTTTCTGCTTGCAGTCCGCCACGTAGTATTTGACCCATTCCGAGTCCGACATGAGCGCAGTGGCTCCACAGTACATGACTCCGTCGCTGGCTGGGATCGCGCTGCTGCCGTTAGCCTTCCCGTCCCAGTAGACCTCGTCGACCATGAGGCTCTCGTCGGGATGACCCCTCTTCTAGTTGGGGTGCTCGGGGCAGTCCCTGGCCAGTGGCCTGGCTTGCCGCACCGCAGGCAGATGGCCGATGATGTGGACGTGGGAGTTGGCCGCGTACCTGCCCTGGCTCGCCCCATTGGGCCTGGCCTGTCTGGTCGTGCTCTGACATAGGCGCTGGGTGGCGATAAACCATTTGGGCTGCCCTTTCTTCATCTTGACTGTCCGCGTCCTTTGGAACCCTTGCTGCGCGGCTTGCCTCCGCTGCCGGTGGCTCCAATCGGTGCTGCGCTCGAACTGGATCCGCTTCCGACCATCGCCACGACTGGGTAGAACCCTCGCGCTAACTTCAGGTCGTTGAACCGCTTCCTGGCGCCCGCGTAGGCCGCGCACACCTCGTCGCACTCACCGGGGTCGAGCTCGTGAGCCGCACTGAACTCGCGTCGGTAGTGGCCCTCGTCGCAGTCGCACCACGCGTCATCATCCTCCGCCCAATACTTCTGCTGGTAATCGTCCGTTGGCTCGTCCTCCCGTTTGACAGTGTAAGCTTCTTCTTCGTAGTAATACTTTTCCTCGTCGACGAAATATTGTCCCCGCGCGTGATTTGGCGCGTGGATGGTGCTCTCCTGCCCGAAGGTGGTCTCCAGCGCCTCGATCACTTTGTCCTGAGTGATACCCTTGCCGACCACCGACATAACGACTGCCTCCTGGTCCGCATTGTAGCCGCCGCGTCGTGGAGCGAGCCCGCCTCGCACCTTGGCGGGTCGCTCGATGTCGCGCGTCTTGAGCTTCCGCTCCGCTGCTCGAACTCGCGAGAGGTAGGCGAAGAGCGTCTCGCCCGTGTACCTTTTTAGCGTGTAGAAGTACTCTTCGAAGTCGTCTGCGAGTTCGGTGTGATCGTCCATCTTGAATCGCTTCTGTAATCTGTTCCTGAGCAGCTTCGCCGCGTTCGGCTTGATGAAGTCGTCCGCTGAGAGGTCCTCCACGTCGTCCCAGGCCTCGCCGGTGAAAACTGCGCTGAGCATGAGAGCCGCTTCGCCTTCCTTCTTCTCCAGCGAGAGCTTCGCCATGAAGATCATCGCCCGCTCCTCGTACTCATCCTATTTGCTGTGGGTACCGTCGAACTGTGGAACTAACTCTTCGCTCTGGTCGAAATCGAACTGCCATCTGGCCGAAATCGAACTGCAATGGGTCTCCGAAATCAAACGTGAACCGCCTTGAGAAATCTCCGAAATCTCGGGTGGGCTGGTCTATGAGATTGAACGGCAACAGGTTGTCGAAACTCAACCGCGGGAGCTCTATAAAATGGGCCGCTGTGTGGTTTCCGTAACCGAAGCTGAAGGAGTGGTCGAACGTTTTCGTGAAAACGTCGCCAAAATATGGAAGGTCGAAACGTGAACCGGGCGAACCAGGCTCCGCTATCGATATGAAGTTATCAAATCCCTCGAAGTATCTGATGGCGAAAAGAAAGAGAAGGACGAATAACACCAGGATGCTTTCACACCGCTGCGCTGGTGACCCAAGGGCCCTGTCAAGGTTTGGTTTGGGCAACAAGACAGAACGGTCAGAGGATGCTCTTTGTCCCCCGCTCGTGCTTCTAATGCTGTGCACGCTCTGCTACTCTCTTGCTATGCTGTCTACGCAGAAGTACTGCGTATATCTCACAGGGGACTGCGTAGAAGCTGAATGTGGGGCCATCAGATCCTCACGGTTCTGGGGTTCGAGGGTCAGGGCAGGCAACAGCATCAGCAGGGACCAGACACTATACCGAAAACCGGAATGACGATTGAATTTCCTCGGCGAACGCATGATGCACCCACAGCCATGGGCAAATCACGGATCGATCGTCCGCAGCCGTTCCGGGCGCAAGTGACTTTTTAGCATCTCTGCGATCGCAGCGAAGGGCATGCCCCAGGAGACGCTCAACCACTGGATTCGGTCTCAGATGCCGAATTGAAAAAAGACGTTGTGATTATTCTCCGTACGTGATCTGATTGCAAAGCCTATTCCTCTTCCTCCCTCCTCCCTCCTCCTTCCTCCTCCTCCACCTCCCCCTTCTCCTCCTCTGTCTCCTCCTCCTCCTCAGATTCCTCATCCGTCCTCCCCTTCTTCGGGTATGACGGATTCCCCAGCCCTTTATTCCACTGTTTGCTCCCCCACATTCCTGATCAAAGCAACTCGCCTGGGCATCGTTTCTGGATGGATGGGCTGGTGGGGTTACGCGAAACATCTAGAGTAGACCAGAAGACAGAGATGAAGTGCACTGTGTACTGAAGCGGACTGGACTGAAGTAGACTGAACTGGACTTGGGTTGACTCTACTCCTCTCTACTCTACTCTGCTCTGCTGTGTTACACCCTACTCTACCCTACCATATACCCTACTATACTCTACCCTTCTCTGCTCTACTCTACCCTACTCTCCTCTACCCTTCCCTACCTTACCCCAACCTGCTCTACTATAATGCACCCTACTCTATTGTAATAAACTTATACGATGTTATAATACACCTCTACTCTACTAAGCTCTACTCTGCTGTACCTCACTATCATATGTTCTACTCCACTCCAGTCGAATCCGACTGTACTCCACTCTACCATCTACTCTACTCTACCTCACTCTGCTCTACCCTACTCGAATCCCTCTTACTATAACCTGCCCGAACCTACTCGAATCGACTCTATTCGACCCTGATGTTATCTACTCTACTCCTACTCCAGTCGACCATAGTGTAGTATCATCTACTCTACTCTACTCCACTCAAGTCTGCTCTACTCCACTCTACTCTACTCCACTCACTCTACTCGAAAATACTCTCATCTACTCTACTCCATCCTACTCTACTCTCCTCTACTCTACTCCATTATACCTCTCGTGCAGCTTCGCCTCGCCCGCAAGCACGACGCGAACCGAAATCGAAACCGACTTCCGGTTGGGCGACTCCGCTTCCCTTCGATCTCGTCCGACGACCTCCGACCTAGGCCGAGGCCCCACGCAGTGGAGGTGGCCAAGCACTGTACCGCCGAAAGCCGACCGTGCCCAGCCCACCTTAGTGACATACCCCCCTTTTGCTTCACGGGATGGGAGAACGGCGAACGCGTGGGCTCATAGATCCAGCATGCTCAGCAGCCGAGCCTGCCTGATCGGGGCCGCCCCTCACTGCCTTTCTAGGACTCGCTGCCCACGTCTCCGGGGGTCTTGTTGTCGGTGGCGGTGCGCGGCTGGTTTGGATCAGCAAAAACGCCGAAGCCCACCTTCTCCGACGTGACCTGGCCACTCCAAGGGTCGCGTTGACCCGCATTCAGATCGCGCTTGTTTGGCGACTTCATCACCTTATCAATGAGGCCGTACCCTACGGCCTTCTCCGCATCCAAATAGAAGTCACGACCCAGGTCCTTCTGTATCTCCTCCAACGGCTTTCCTGTCATCTCCGCCAGGGCGTTCTCTACGACCGCGGCCTCCTTCAGCATCTGCGTAGCCTCCAATTCTATCTCGGACGCCTGTCCCTGGACTGGGCTTGCCAGCCCCGTCTTGGAGATACGGAAGATGGAGTTCGGGGTCGCGAATCGGCGGCCCTTTGTGCCTGCGGCAGCAAGAAATGCACCCATGCCGCTGCACAGCGAGAATACCACGGTCGTGACCTTGCAGCCTTTGGCCTGTAGCTGTTTCAGTGTGTCGTAGATTGCCAGGGAGGGCTGAAGCATAGCTCCAGGCACGTTGAAGTAGATCTGGATCGGTTTCGTGGCGTCCTCGCTCTGCAGGTACAGCAGCATGGCCAGGGTCGCGTTCGCACAGTTGTCGTCTATGTAGCTGTCGATGAATAGGATGCGCTCGCGCAGCAGCAACTCCCTCACGCTCAGCCACTGCCACCTGTCAGGAGCGAAGAAGAAACAACCACAGACGCTGGGTTGCGGAAACCGCCTCTGGCGGATTCCCAGGGACGACCCCGACCCCCAGGGGTGATGACCTACGCGGCGCCCATTTTCGAATGCCGCGCGCAGGTCATCACCGCTGCGGGGTCGAGGGCATGGGTGGGCCAGGGGCGGCTCCCTCAGTCCAGTAGCTGTACTTTTCTCTTCTTCGCCCATCCAAACATCTAATGTCTTCAGTTTCTCAACACGGGTTCCCCGGAAGTCTGGACCTTTTTCCCTTGGGCCGGCTCTGCATCCTGAGTTGAGGCACGGCGACAGCCCCCAAATGCCGAAAATCGTTAAAAACTTCCGCATCGAGTTTTTTGGGACACTGGAGGTCTAAGCATGAACCTGGACGTGTTGGGGATCTTCCACGGCATCAGCGCCGCTTGGCGCGCAGTGGCACCGCCACCCCGCACACCGCGGCGAGAACGCGGCCCTCGCGCTCCCGCGACTAGCAGCAGCCCCACCGCGGCGCCCAAGGCGGCGCCGCACGCATGGCCGGCCAAGCCGTGGGCGGCACTGTGCGGGCCAGCGCCACCCAAGGCCTCCCTCGCAAAGAGGCCTGGCCCGGCGGCGCCGGGCGCCGCCACGGGCCGCGCTAGCCGGGCGGGCGCGAACGCAGCGGCAAGGTGCGCAGCGGGCCACAAGAGCGCCCCAGCAGCCGTCGCAGCGCACAGGATCGCTGGCTCGCCCCCGCGCGCAGGCATGGCCCCGAGCTGGCCACGGGCCGCGGGCCGCGTGGCGCGGCGCGGGGCACTGGGCAGGGGAGGGGCGCCCGCGCCCCCAGCCTGACAGGTCAGCGACCGGAGGAGGTTCGAGATCCTGTTCCCATGGGGCCGCGGAAATGGGGCGGGACGCAGAAGGACATTTCTAGTACTGCGTTGATGTTCGAGGCGCACGCCCGACACGAACAAATAATATGATCAAAAGATACACGTATTTACATTTACACACACACACACATACACATGGTTGCCCCCCCTCCAAGATCATACCTCTCTCTGCTTATGCGTTCCTTCTCTTCCTCCTTTTCCGTTCCTTTTCTTTCTCGTTTCCCTTTCCTCCTTCTCCAAACACAATTCATCCTCCCCCTCGCCCATCATCCTGTTCCTCCTTCTCCTTTCCGTTTCCTCCTCTGTGTAGCAACGCCAAATCAAGAGTACACAGTAATTGGCACCCTCGGAGAAAGGAAACGCTGTGTATGTTTGTTGTTTCCATTTTTGTTGGTATAGGATGCAAGGCAACACTGTGTATGTTTGGTTATTTCGTTTTTGTTTTGTTTTTTTTGGTTTTGGATGCTCAAGTGCTCCCCGCGGCCTCACCCCCAGCACCTCCTCCTTTTCCCCCTTCCTCTTTCCCCCTCCTTCTCCTCCTTTCCTCCCCTCCCCCTTGTTGCAAGGCAAGAAAACCAAGAGTACAAAGTGTTTGGTGCCCTTGGTTTACGAAACGCTGTGTATGCTTGGTTGTTCTGGTGATTTTTGGTCTAGAATGTAAGGAAACACGGTGTGTGTTCGGTTATTTTGGTTCTGGGGGGGGGTGGAGCTCCGGACGAGAAGGAGGAGAAGGAGGAGGAGATGCTGCGGGGAGGCAAGGGGAAGCACTTGAGCTTCCAAAACCTCCCAAAAAAAAGAAACAAACATACAGCGGACAAGGAGGGGGAAAGAGAGAGGGGGGGCAGAAGGAGGCGCTGGGGGGGAGGCCGCGGGGAGCACTTGAGCTTCAAGTACCAAAAACAACAACAACAACAACAACAACAACAACAACAACAACAACAACAACAACAACAACAACAACAACAACAACAACAACAACAACAACAACAACAACAACAACAACAAAAAAAAAACGTGTTTCGCTGCATCCAAATAAAATATAGTACTGTGTTTTGTGTTTTTATGTGGGACAAAATTGCTACGACGGCGCCAAACACTGTGTATTTGTAGTTTTCTTGCTCTGCAGCAAAGAGGAGGACAGGAAAGGAGGAGGAGGGGGAAAGAGGAAGGGGGAGAAAAAGGAGGTGCTGGGGGTGAGGCCGCGGGGGGGCATTCTTGTTTCCGAAACCATAAAAAGACATAAAAAACATACACATATATATATATATATAAACAAAAAATTCCATTGCATCCTAAACCAAAAGAGCTAGAGAGAGAAAGAAACAAGCAAACAAAAAAATCCTTGCTCCGAGGGCGTCACACACTGTGCATTATTGGTTTTTGCGCTGCTACGGAAAAAATGAACGGAAAGGAGACGGAGGACAAGGATGATGGGCGAGGGGGAGGATGAATTGTGTTTGGACAAGGAGGAGAAAGAAAGGAGAAAAAGAAGGAACGGAGAAGGAGAAAAAGAAGGAACGGAAAAGCAGAAAGAAATATGATCTCGGAGGTGGGCGACCATACACACAGATCAAGAACACTCGATTCCAAATTTGAACAGAATTAAATCCAGATTTGATTAATTCATGATGAAAACGGGACTCCGAAAAGCTCAAAAAGAACTAGATGTTGCTAATCTAATGTACGCGGTTGCTGTACTGATCTCTAATGTTCCGGTTCGATTGCTATCGGTGCTTATATTTCTTCTCTATTCCGATCCGTGCGGCATGCCGATTGCTCTTTCTTTCCAATCGGAGTCGGAATTCCGATCGGCATAGATACTCCGATGAATCGCGGTATGCAGACTTGTTCAACTTCGATATTCCGATTCGTTTCTCGATTTCAATCAGTAGTTGTTCGGTTTGCACGGTCTTCGAAGAGATTTGTTGCGCAAAGCGCCCTTCCTCAGGTTGCTGACTGACACGCGCGGCTTACTTTGCCAAGCCAGCAAGATCGCCTGCCAGTCGTTGCCGCCCGGCGTTGTCCGGCGAGGCAGACGCGCGAAACGCGATGCTTCCACACCTCGCCACCAACCGCAAAATATCGAGCCCCAAGGGTGAAAAGGATTCCATGTGCTCCAACGGCACAATAAATTCACGCTTGCACGCCGGCGCCCGGTTGAATCGCGCGCCAATCGTTCCAAGAGTACGCCCTCAAAATTACGCCGCGCTCTTTGACCCCTATTCCCTCTTCCACGCGCGCGGAGAAAAAGCAGGACATCTCCGCATTTGCGCGAGGCCTTCAGAATTGACGATCCCCGTGCTTTGCCGCAGCACAAGCCAATCTCGCAGACATCATAAATTTTGAACGGGCTTTCGCATCTGAAACGCCGAGCGTCGCCGACTCTCGAATAGCCGAGGCCAGAAGCTGCCGAGGCGTCGCCCGCCGGATCCGGTTAGTCAGGGTCATCGCCCGACGCCGAATTACCCATGGAAAAATCACTGTCATCCGAAAACTCTTCCGCGCAGTCCGATGGCTCGGAGCTGATGTCATCAAAAAAGGCCACATAACGCGCATCGAATGAGTGGCAATACGCTGCCGGACTGTTGTCAACTTCCCGCGCGCAACTATAAGACGCCGTGCTACTGCGTCCCGCTGTCGACGCAGACGCTCGATTTCCCGATGCTGCGCAACAACCTTGTCTGCTAGACGCTCGCTCACTGACGCGATTTTCTCGCGAAGATCGCCAATTGGCTCGCCGGTCTTATTTCCGAAGTCTCACAGTTTATCCTCAATTATCGAACCCGTCGATTCCAGCTGTTGCACTGACACTGCCGCTTCCCCCAAAGTCCACTTGGCGCGGCCCCCACGTTCGCGCGAGGGCACCTCGGTCGAAACAGACGCACGATCTTCCTCTTTGCTGCCACTACCACCCCTTGGATTAAAAAGTCCGGATCGGCACTGCAGGCCCCCTTGCTTCGTCGCTCCCCGAGAGGTAAACATGACCGGCAAGAAGTACCAAGCAGAATCGCAACTTACAAGCAACATGACTGGGACCAGAAATTCATTTGCGAGGAAATCCCAAGCGAAATCGATAATTTCTGGTCGCCACTGAGAATTTCGGGTCGCCTGAAAAGCATCGAAAATTTGTGCGGAGGAAGTATTAAGCGGAATGCGGATTTCCGGTCGTCACCCCATTTGGCGATTATAATATTAAAGGGGGTGAGGACGGACAGGAAATTGAACCATGGCGGCCCCTGCAACAATGCACCGGGGCCCCGTGGCCCAACGGGAGCCGAACATCAAGGCTCATTCCCCGACCTCTGCGGCCCGGACTTTTTGTCCCAGGGGGCTGTACCCGGAGCCAGCCCAAGGCCGTCATCACAAGAAGCCAACATTGAATATGATCTTGCAGTATTGGAGGTGGTCAGCGTATTACACGCCGCGAATCCTTCGATCCTAATCGACACTCAACAAGATTTAACACTGGAGTAGGCCCGCCCGCAGAGAAAATGAAAATCGAGCAATTCGCAACGCCTGAACTCAGACCTGCGTCGCCACGGCCAGTCTGTTTTGAAAGAAGAGAAAAGGACAGAGAGAGAAAGCACAAAAAAAATGAAATGATGCAAGTGAGTTGCGAGAGTAGGATGCACGGATGTGGAACCTTGACACCTTGACACTTTGAGCTAAAATGACTACGGATGTGAAACCTTGACACATTGACACCGCGACACCTTCGTTCTTCATTCATATCGCGCATATGTCCCTTCCTCGAGGATCACATTTCGAGGGCGCGGACGCTTTGAACACCGAAATACCAAAACCGCATACTCGAAATCATTGCTGCCGCCGGTCATCCGTAGACTTCCGAAATCGATCGGCTTCCAGGGGCTTTGCAGTCTGCGCCCCAGCGGATTCGCGGCGGCCCCGGGGCGCAGATGCGGCAGTCCGGGATGAGAGGTAAGTCTGGCGATTCTGCCCCCTCTAAATCGGCAAAACCCCTGCGTGGACTCCTCCATCCAAGTCACGAGCCCCGCGATAGATATCGGCGGGGTACGGTCGCAGGAAAAGTACGTCTCTATCAACCATCCATCGAGATCCCCCCCCCCCCCATGGCACGAACACTACTTGCATTCGATGTTGGCCAAGAATGCAGAAATATTCAGCACCGCCCGGGGCCATGGTCTGGCTTCTTCTTGTTTTACTTTTTTGCCTTTTTTCTTATTTGTTTTACATCCTCGCGACAATAAGGCCCCCCCACGTGATGTCGGAAGGTCAACATCATTCAAAAAGTTGCACGGCGAATAGCACACGAAAGGATACAGGCGACAAGCAGCACCAAAAAATGTGGATTTGCCCATGAAACGCCCGCAAGACCTTGAAAACCGTTTCTGGCCTTGAAATGACTGCCAAACGCATAGCCAGAAGCGACAAGAGAGAGGAAAAGAAGGGACGAGGAGGGAGGGGGAGGGGAGAAGGGAGGGAGGGGGGGAAGGAAGGAAGAGCAGCAGGCAGAACAACAACAGAGGAGAGCGAGGAGGACGAGAAGGAGCGAGAGGCGCCGGACGCGCAACGGTAAAAACAGCCCCTGCTGCGCTCCGCACAGAGCACAGGACGGGGGGGAGGAGAAGGCGAGAGAAGAAGAGACGACGGACGACAGCAACAGCAGAACAACAAACGAAGAGGCCGACGGCGGGACCCTACAGCAGCAGGCAGGAGGGAGGAAGGGGAAGGAGGACGGGAGGGGGGGGCAGGGAGGGGGAGAGGAGGAGGGAGACAAAGGCGAGGAGGATCCGCCGCGCCAGTCGCGACACCCGCGAAGAGGATGGAAGGCGAGCGGGACGCGAGACGAAAACGTGGAGCTCCAGTCATCGCATTGGCAGGCCCGCGCACGGAGGAGGCGCTGAAGCCGCCCTTGAAATCTTGAAACCGACGCTGCGCTGATGACATAATCTGGCAGAAGATTATATATCCGCGT